TCCATACTTGCAAATTTACTCAGAAATCAGATGTGTATTCTTTTGGTATCATTATGTATTTGATTGCTACTGGTGAATCACCTTTTAGAGATAGAGAATTTGATAGAAACTTGGTATGTGATATCATGGGTGGGCTACGACCATCGATGCCTGATTCCGCACCAGAGGAATACAAGAAACTTGCAGAGCGATGTTGTGACGCTGATCCTGATAAGCGTCCGGAGAATGGAAAGGCACTTTTTGATTATATTGGCAAGCTTTGTAGAATGGCGCGCAAGAACAGCAACGCATGGGATGCTATCTATCATAATGATGTAAAACCGTTATCACGTCTCGAGAAGGAGAGTAAATATTCTAGTACGCTCTTACCTACGGGAGATCTGCCTAAACCAAGAAATAGTTCTCATCAATTACCTCCCTTATCAGATTTCAGCTTACCAAGTTTAGAGGTAGAATTAGGTCAGGTTAACGAGGAGAATGAAAGGTAATTTGGGATCTGGTGACAGTTACGAAGACGGTGTTCATGCAAACACTCATTGAACAAACTTGTAATCTACTGTTTGTAGTTTTAGGGTTTACTGCAATAGTTGAATTAAACAAACTCGTGTACGTTTAGTGTTAGTTGCCTTGCCGGGGTAGATTATTTGAGTTTTTGAGGTCTTTATTACGGCACGGGGTAAATTATTTGAGCATGTAAAAAAAATAATAATAAATTACATTTTACGTTTATGAAACTGGTAACAAATTCAATGTTAATCGTTCCTGAAATAAATGCGTGGCTATTCGAGACAGTGAAACTTCATTGTCAATTTCAGCGCCGGTTGGATGTTCCTGGCATTGATTCATGCTCCAAATGACCATGCAGTCGGCCAATATAACAAAGCGAGATTTTCTTTCAGCTTCAAGAAATGGATTTTTCCTTTTTTAATTGCGGCTTTTTAACAATGAACAATGATAATTTAAACCTTTATCGACGCGATAGCCGCTTCACCATGAATTCATTATTCTTTTGTTCAATACCGCGGATTAAACACAGTTTTTGGTATATAATCATTCGTTTCGTATCTTTTCCACGTCTGCTCCTTCCGAATAAAGTCGAATACATTCCATTACAAGTAACAGTTATAAGATCTAATACTTAAATTACCCATCTGTTGCCTAATAGACTAAGCACATTGATGAAGCATTCAGGGTGAGGAAAGATGACGCGAACAAGTCCCGGTCATCTTTGTACTTGACGCGCGTCGAGCACCCTCCCACTTTCGACATTTTGAGCGATCACTTGTTTCCTTCTCCCCAACAAAACGCACACACGTTTAATCATCTCGAATATCATACATAGCTCATTGCGAGTGTCCCAACGCCTGAAGCTCTTGCGCAATCAAACGGCGAAGCGTATTTTTCGATTTCTAATAAGTGGCTTGTCAATCAGTTAGGAAACTGTTTAATTTAGGACTTTTCCCAGGCACTTCACGCGCTGCACGTCGATATGTTTGCTCAGAATAGTTCTGTAAAGAGAGTCTCTGCAACGTACAAAATTGCTTCAAATAAATTCAAACCACCGTAGATGATGTATAACAAGCAATCACATAAACTATTTTATCCACCTCGTCTTGCGTTTCAGGTGTCGAGACAAAGTCAATAAAGCAAGCATTGAAACCTCACAATCCGCTTTAATGGACTAGAAATATATTGAGTATGGAAGCACTAGTGATATAAACATTTTGTATTGCGCTATTACAAAAGATTCAACTATTGGTATGTATGTGTGATGTAACACAATAAGCTTAAGAATGTCTCCTTGGAAACTTATTCAAACTATGACGTTAGCATCAAGGACTGTTAATAATCCGGTGATTGACAACTTGGTTCAATCCTCCTTAGAAAATGAGAAAGACTTAAGACTTGAATGGATTCCTTGCGAGGAAGTCGCCAACATAAAGCCGAGTCAAATTGATAATGTTTATTATACTTCTCGCATGACAATACTAGTATCACTTGGAAGTAGCGAAGAATGTACACCAACATTTGTGAATGAGTTTGCCAGAATATACTCGCTTCCAACACACAAGTACAGTAGTATTAACAGTCAGTTCAAAAGATATTCCGTATGGCTTGAATATCGCAACAAACTCATAAAAGGATTTACCGAGTACGATAATAACTATTACATGGTCGCCGATAAACGCTTTTACTATTATTACTCTCGATACGGATTCTGTTCTAAATGTGGTGTACTCCGATGTAGTCCCGTGTGGTGTATCTGTGGACATAAACAATTAGCCGATGGATGGACTAGCAATAACAAGCAACTCGACGAGTTTATTAAAAAATCCCAATTACAAACAAACTCACCAAATGATGCCTATTTGGAATGGATTCCATTTTATTACTTTAGTGAGGGGATATTGGTTGTATACTTGTATGGTCTACCTACTTCCGATCATGTACGAGTTACATTAGCTCTGCTTGAGATAACAGATGAGATAGATGATTCATATTATGCCGAGGTAAACGATTTACTTATGCGTCATGTTTATTGAATAGTTATTGACATATTATTATGCATTGTTTCATCAGTTATGTGATAAGCATCCAGATCTTCTTGCCACGGATGTTTGGGTTACCATTGGATTCACGTATGATGCAAGTGAAAAAAAATATTATCTAATAAAAACTGACGATGGATTATGTCTGGGGTGTACAGCAGCGTATGAACTTCATATAAGCGCATTCTGCTTCGATTGTAAAGCACCACGACCCGTTGATTGGACTACGGGCCACAAGTCATTGGATTCATTTATTATGGAATCGTGGGGTAATATGAAGAATAAGTATGATGCGTACATACAATGGATCGAATACTCTCTATTGTCGAATGTACAAGAGGAGATATCATTACGCCACGGATGCATACATGTAGCAAATTGGTTAGAATCAACAACGAACGAACCGACAAGAGTGATGCTCAAACAGATAATTGACAAACAGAACGTAGACGATCAGTTATTTGATTTTCATCAGGTAAATTATTTACGTGTAAAATGCAATCGATAAGTGCGTATCACGCGTTTCAAACGACCAGTGTTGTAACGACTGCATTTGTTTACTTAAACAGCTAATTAAGGAATATCCAGAGATATTAACGCCCGATAATATTTGGATAATCGGAATTACTCAAGAACCATCTACTCGGAAATATTATTTAGTTTTCTACTATGACGTATATGAAATATCGGACAGGTTTATACGTAATAATAAACGTGTAAAGTACCTCCAGTATAGCGACTTTGATGACCTCAAAGAGATCGGATCTGGTGGTTACGGAACAGTTTATACAGCCAAATATAAAAACTTTGTATTTGAAACACATATGCAACAAACTGTTGTACTCAAACGGTTTAAGAGTTTTGATGAAACGCCGGAATTATTTATTTCTGAGGTAAGCAACAATTGATAATATCAATTAAAGTGATGTTTAATTTGACTCTGTTATTCGTTTTACTTAATAGTTCAGAAATCATGCTAAATGCGCGCTTGGGTATTTCCTTGCTATTTACGGAGTCACACAGGATCCAAAAACAAAAGAATACATGGTTGTTATGGAGTATGCTAACAATGGTAGTCTTTTGTCTTATTTGGATCAAAATATTACCAGATTAACGTGGAGGATGAAATTACAGCGTTTGAAGGATATTGCATATTATTTGGCCAAAATTCATAATGCAGGATTAATACATTGTGATCTTCATGGGGGAAACATTGTTTCACATAATAGTTCACTACTCATATGTGATCTCGGTCTCTCACAATCGGTAAATTCATGTAAGCCAAGTTCAACCATCCGAGGCGTTTTACCCTTTATTGCACCGGAAGTCTTCCATACTTGCAAATTTACTCAGAAATCAGATGTGTATTCTTTTGGTATCATTATGTATTTGATTGCTACTGGTGAATCACCTTTTAGAGATAGAGAATTTGATAGAAACTTGGTATGTGATATCATGGGTGGGCTACGACCATCGATGCCTGATTCCGCACCAGAGGAATACAAGAAACTTGCAGAGCGATGTTGTGACGCTGATCCTGATAAGCGTCCGGAGAATGGAAAGGCACTTTTTGATTATATTGGCAAGCTTTGTAGAATGGCGCGCAAGAACAGCAACGCATGGGATGCTATCTATCATAATGATGTAAAACCGTTATCACGTCTCGAGAAGGAGAGTAAATATTCTAGTACGCTCTTACCTACGGGAGATCTGCCTAAACCAAGAAATAGTTCTCATCAATTACCTCTGATCAGATTTCAGCTTACCAAGTTTAGAGGTAGAATTAGGTCAGGTTAACGAGGAGAAAGAAAGGTAATTTGGGATCTGGTGACAGTTAGAAGACGGTGTTCATCGTGATGATGTAAAAGAGCTATCACGCCTCAGCAGGAGAGTAAATATTCTAGTACACTCTTACCTACTGGAGATCTGCCTAAACCGAGAAACAGTTCTCCTCAATTACCTCCCTTATCAGATTTCAGCTTGTCAAATTTAGGGGTAGAGTTAGGAAAGGTTGACGAGAAGTAAGGGCGGTAGTTTGACAAACAATTGGTTATTGAAAAGTCAATCTACGACATCATTCACCGCTTATGATTTATTGACCGTTAGAAAAAGAGTTGTTACATTAATTTCTTTATTTGGGGTGATAGTATCGTTTTCATATCTTTCGACTATTAAACAGCTAATCTTAAGTTTATTATATTATAAGTGTTTAGAGGACATGATCTTGCAAGAGATCTCTCCTCCACTTCTTAGACAGGAACATTCATCAATACAAATACAAGCTAAGCACTAAAATACATCTGAAAGCGAATTCTAAAGCTTATAGTTTCATGATTAGGAAATAGCATAACGGAATCTAGTCAGCATAAGAATAGAACAACCAGTAATAAAGTAATAAACGAATGTCTCTGATAACTGTTTCACGCTGCAAGTGTTTCATCATGTGCTGGTTGCGAAAGTTTCTTTTGTAGAGATACAAGGCGATTTTGAATTGAGATTATGACTACATTATATAATGACATGGAAAAAATTGTGAGTTTTAAGCGTGGCGTAACACAAGATATAAAAGTATTTTTTGCTTACGTTTGTTTAATATTTGTTTATCTTCTTCATCCATCCCCTCTTCATCATCTTGGCAATCCAGAATAGCACATAGCATAAAGATGGCGTTCTGGTAAGTGCGTTCACATGTAGTGAGATCTTCCCCTACCAATTCAATAACAGCAGCTGAACGACTCTAGAAAAAAAAAATATTTCAAACGTTAAACATGCAAAAATCTTATAAATGTAGTCGCGTATTATTTATGGCTTATGAGCTCACCATTTCTAATGCTTTATCATACAAAAGCTTCTCTGGAAACACCTCTGCAGTGTTCTCATCATCAGTACGACACTTTGACTTGGCATACTCGGCTCTTTCCAAGCATTCGTTAAACCGAGCACGGACCCATTGAACAGCTAAATTCACAAATTGATATTTAACAAGTTTCTTAACATTCTAGACAGTAATCGAATATAACTGTCTACTCACCCATATTAAATTTATGTGAGACTGTCTTGTGTCCGGAATACTCGGGTAACCCATTCCAATGCTCTTTGGCAGTGTTCATCGCTGATTGAAGTATGCTTAATGCTCTTAGATAGAGAGCCAGTGCTTCTTCCGCTAGGACAGCTGTTACCTCGGGAGACGTGACTGGACTTTCAGCCAAAGTTATACTACTCGCAGTCGGAAGCGGGGGGAGCAGTTGATGGAATTTGCTATCAGCAAATCGGTAGACTACATATGCTTTGTTCGCAGCATCCTGTATGATCTTCACTATTGCTTCCTGCGAAAAAAAGGCAGAATTACTGCGTCAATTGTAAGCTAAACCCTAGCCAGATTCAATCTACCCAACCAAGCATTTATATTACCATCCCCGAATTATAATGTATATTTTAAAAAAAAAGTAAACAATCTATTATACATAATATAACCGTGCGTCTCGAACTTGTTTCCACACGTACCTCTTTCGGATCAATATCTTCGTCAGGTAACATAATGGCATTCGACTTCCTTTTAGCTTCTTTATATCCAAATTTTGGTGGCGAATTACTACCTCCAAACAATCTCTTCCCTGCAATCGATAATGCCTCTGCCAACGCTCCACTTCCCGAGCTTCCGGCTGATTCTAATTTCTCAGAACCATTAGATATTGCAAACGGTGGAGTCGTAGAGAGGTACGTCGTGTTGGTTGATATTGGTTGTGCATGACGGTTGTGAAAGTCGAAAATCGGATATCCTTGCGTGTGTGGTGTGGAAGAGCCAGAAGAGGAAGAAGAGTGTTTACGGTTGCGACGTATGCCAATTGGATTCGTTTTGGGAGACGCTACAAGTTCTGTGTTTGTGAAAATAAAACATGTACAGTAACCGAGTATCAAGAACAATCGTCAGTAATTGCAAATAGCTATAAAGTTTTCAAACTTTGTCCCACAACTTTTGGTTAGGAATTTCATACCATCGGCAAAAGCATTAACATCAATCTGGCTTGGATCAATCACGACATACTCTCGCTCAAATGCAATTTCCTCATCGCGACGACGGAGACAACTATCGTCAGTCTGATCTATGTTATTTCCTCCATTTATCACATTTCCATTACGTTCGCCGTTTACTCCATGTGAGCCAGTTGAAATGCTGTCACTGTATGTACGTCTTCTTGGAAAGTCAATATTTTGGCTTGTCTGTTGGACAAGGAATGAAGGAGAAGGGGAACGATTGTAAGATGACCGTTGCATTTCGACGAGATGCCGAGGAGAGGAAGAGAGACGATCGGTTGGCGAATTTTGGGAATGGTAATTATTTGTACCCGGAGGATTTTGCTGGTGACGGTGAGTGCTAAGTAGTAAAGAATTGGATTGGGAGAGAATTATATATATTGAACGAATATTTGTTAATATATTACTTTGACATGAACTCGCTTTGTCAAATGCAGAATAAATGCTCTCTCACAACCAACATATAATATCACCCTCACACATACCGAGAATATCCAGGCTGCTGCGATGACTGTTGTTGTTGCTGCTGCTGCTGCTGCTTGACATTTTCCTTTGACACTTTCTTTCCAATCGCGCCACCTAATGCTGTCAATCCCTTCCCTCCATTATCTCTTATCCGTCCATTTTTCCCTCCAGCCGGTACTTTCTCCTTCTCCTTTTTTTCAGATTCATTCTGACAACCAACTAATGCCGGTGAAGATACAGATCGGTCTCGTACATGACGAGAAGATTTATCTGTAGCCGGTAACGGATTACGATGTTCAGACTGTTTTATCCGAGAAGAGCCCGTCTGTCGCGGGTAAATGTCTCCTAACACGCAGGGGTGCATGAAAAATTCTTCAAATGATATTCTTTCTACTGGGTTTTGTTTGAGCACATGTCTTATTAAATCTTTCAGCTCTTCGCTTATCGCTGGCTGCGCAGATACTTTCCCTTTTAAGGAAGCTTTACTGGCCCCATCCGTACTGCCGACATTATATGTAGCGGGCGAATCGCCTGGGAATTTAATATCGTCTTCCCCCAGTTCGATTTTTTTCAACAAATCAATATGGTTTTGGGCCTTAAATGGTGGTCTGCCGGTAGCCATTTCATATAGCACTGCACCGACTGACCAGAGATCGGCCTTGGCATCATATTTTTCATAGCGTAAAATCTCAGGTGCCATGTATAATGGCGATCCGCAAAGTGTCTCGGCTAAGCTGGCATTTGGTAGGAAACGAGCAAAGCCGAAATCAGCAATTTTGAGAATTGGAAGGTCCGGTGAACCGATTAGTGTTGAGTCTGGATTTGGAGATGGAGGTTGTAGAAGAAGATTCTTTTTGAAGCGTAATGCAAGTAATTAGTTATGTATATTGAATGATATTGATGAGGTGCGAGGAGCCAAACAACAAAGATAAAACATAACGCGACGTTGAAATATACAAGTATATTAATTACGAGCTCAACGACACGCGTAGTTTTATAAAATTTGGGTAATCATCCTCTTTTTTTCCTTTTCCTTTATTGTCCTCTATGCCACTCATAACTAAGTTAATCCCATTGTAGCCTATTTTCGTTGAGAATAAAAGCCAATCACATATTTCTCCTCTCTGGAACAGAAAAGTAACAACGTGTTGATAATGTACCTGTGGTTTAATATCTCTATGAATGAGGTTTGCTGATCGAAGAAAACCCAACGCGTTCGCTGATGCAGATAAAAAAGAATGAATTAGACAGATGATTCAAAAAGTCGCATACTTTCAATCTACGCTCTCTTCTCTCTTTTTCTATCCCTTCCCTCTCGTGACAGACAAATTTATTGTATCAAACCCATTTGAATACGATCTAACCAAATTGTATTATACACTAACCTAGCTGCTTTAGAAAATGACGTACAACGTGCTCACTAAGCCCTATAGGCGTATTGGATCGCGTATGTGATACTGCTCCCGAACCAGATACATCTCTGCGCCTTTTGATATAACTCGACAGATCACCCATGGAACAGTATTCCATTATTAAGTGAATATGTGTTTCAGATTTCTATGTTTGTGGAATTATACGTATAGAAGTGCATCCGGTCAAAACCATGATATATTTTGCAAAAACTGAAACAGAGTTGTTAAAAACGTGTATGTTTTTTCTATAGTTGACCGTATTCCGACATGTGGTATTGTAACAGATAGTGAAAGGTTACCTGGCAGTCGACTAAGTGGACAATGTGATTGTGTCGCATCTTTTTGAGTATGCTTATTTCTGACTCGAGATTCTCCAGAAGCTTTCTGTTTAATTTTAAGAGTACGACAGATTTTATTGCCACTACTTCGCGGGTTGTCTGTAACAGACACGGTGCACATGTGAAAGAAAAGTATTAGAGAGAATATCGTGACAATTCTGCCTTGATTCAAACTATTCTTGCAGGCTGCTCGAACATTCACGCTCACAAAGCAACTCTTGCGTAATATATATCGTCTTAAATAGATCACTCTACCTTGTGGTATCCTTTATATACAGTCGCGAATGAGCCGTGTCCGATCTCTGGGCCTACCACGTAATTTCCCACACCTTGTGAAAGTTCCTTCTGGTCGGGATGCTCGTGTTGTCGTGCCATGACGAGTAATTATAAGGTAAAACAAAGGTATAAGCGTGCGGGCGTGGCAAGATTTTAGATTGAAAGAATAAATATTTGAATTCAAGTGGGATGTGGAGCGAGGGGTGAAGTTTGCTTTAAACAGAAAGTCATGCGGACTGTTCGGGATTTCATTGATGACATCATTCATGATACTAAGAATGTAAACTGTGTAACAAGCCATTATGCAGAGCCTCTTATCAGTTATCGAATATTAAGTTATGCCTAAAACTGCGGTCAGAAACGAATACAAACGTCAATACTGTTGTTACTTTTTATTCTTTCCCTATAAAAAAACGAACAATCGCGAACAATGTAAAATCGTGATCTAAGCATTCCGACATTAGTGATTTTACACCAATAAAAGTTAATTACATTCATTATTATTATTATTTATATTATTGACCGCGGACTATTACTATTACTATGTAACACAAACTCTAAATCAGAATCACATGAGTAACATTCTCTCAAGTCACTCACGTGATGTTTATTACTTTGACGGAAAACTTGTTCCTTTCAGACGCGTTAGAACCTTCCGACATTAAAGTTGCCAACTTCATCCTTCTTTAATTTCTCTATTCAAACACCATTCATCGTCTTTCGTACGTATAAACTCACAACCAAGCAAAGAACATATTATGACCAATATTATTGAACCGGGCTTGAAGAAAAAGCTCCAGTTTGATGACCCAACCGCCATTGAAGAGTTGATTCTGGATAACAAAAAAATTGGAGATTTGACAAAGATAGCACAAGGCGAAAGTGATGGAGACTTTACGCCATTGAGCCAGTTGGTGAATTTGAAAGTATTGTCCATGAACCTCTGCAACTTGTCCTCTTTGCAAGGATTTCCCAAATTACCGCGTCTGCGCAAGGTAAGAACGTTACTGCGGTACATACTCAGCTCGTAGAGATTACAGTTTTCTATCCACCTGTATTTATATTCTTTACGCTTATCCGGCCTATTTTAATGGACGCTCCCTTGCCTTTAATCTTTCCCAGATCGCTCTAACTGATAACAAAATCACCGGAGGTCTGGAACCCTTAGCAAATGCAGGACTCGACAACCTTAACCACCTAGACCTCAGTGGAAACAGGATATCAAGCATTGATGCCGTCAAAAAATTGGTATTTATCATAATAAGATAACATCATTATCAAACGCAAATAAAGATAATGGACTTTTCGTATTTGTAGATTAATCTATTAAGTTATATTGTCTTTGGTAGAAACAATTACCAAATCTCAAGCATTTAAACCTGATTGATTGTCCAGTTAGTCAAATAAAAAACTATCGAGAAGAAATATTTGAAGCTATGCCGCAGTTAGTATCGCTTGATGGAACAGACATGTGAGTGAAGATTTGCGGAGCGGGAAAAAAAAAGATTGCTGCGGAGGTTAAGAGAACAGAAGTGGAAGCAATTAGCAAAAGTCGTGAATAACATTGTATCCCAATCTTGCGTTTTATACTACAAAAGGTACGGAAACCAATTCGATTCTGAAGAAGAAAGTGATTCCGAGGCGGAAGATGACGAGGATGATACGGAGGCTCTACAGAACGGACATGATGGTAAGTACTTGTAATAAGTTTATATCTAGTCAATTGAGTTTTGCACATTTACTCAGAAGCATGCGTACAATCTCAATTCGCATTATTCTTTGCTTTCGTTTCTATCCAGATGAAGAAGACGAGGAAATTGATACATCGGGCGGCGAAGTTGACGACGATGAGGAGGAAGACGAAGATGAGGAAGAGGGCGCAGAAGATGAGGACGAATCGGAGCAGTTAACGGTCAGTTAATTGTGAATGATGGTTTTCGGGTTTTCAATAGTGGACGATGTAAAGTAATATTTATGCGATTTGGCCGATTTATTAGACGACAAAAGGGCAGTCTGACGAGTCGGAAAGCGAGCAAGAGGAAGAATTGGTGGGTTTTCTCACTCGAGAAAGTTATTTCAGAGAAATGTTTGTACCGTGTGGCCATATGTTACAATTTATGTATGGGATATAGTCCATGCGATATAATTCATCCAATATTAGTCATGTGGTACTAACTTTTTATTTATCAGGAAGTAAGCGAATCTGAAAAACCGAAATTGCCAAATACCATAGTTGATAAAGGTAAGGGAGTAGCAGTCCCTTCAGAATCCGAAGTTTCCTCCGAAGAACTTTCTGAAGAACAGTTGTCACTATCATATCTAATGGAAAAGGTGATTTTATCTTGCTCATTAGTCTGGTATTTCATATTATGTTGTTGTCTTGATAATCCTTTTGCATCCACTTTCTATTAATACCGTCATCGTTTATAATTATATATTCTTCCTGGACTGTCTTTCCTTACAGGAACTCCCGGAGGATTCGGATGAGGAAGAAGATTATTCACCTGGTGAGGCAGAGGAAGACGAGGAGAGTGATGTATTAGAGGAGATTGGTAGTGAAGAAGATGAAGAATGCGAACAGGTACAAGCATCAACAAGTGCAGCTGCAGCTGGATCAGCTGTGCCAGCTAAGCGGAAAGGGGAAGATGGTGACGCAGAAGAGAACCGCGTAGAAAAATCGGTGAGTTGGAAATAAGATCGTGGTGAGGGTGTAAATTTGTTACAAGGTAATTATTGTAATCTTACTAAAAATGTCTTTCAGAATGCAATGGATTCTGATTCAATAGATAACAAAAAAAGTGAAATACGAGAAACCGAATCAATAAGTACTAAAAAACGACGAATGTAATAATGGTCGTGGATGTTTATGTTTTCTGTGCGTTATTCTTTGTAATCAAATTGTGAAAACTTTGCTATTGCGTAAATCGATATTGTTTTTTTACATGACTTTCTGATTCAACAACTGTAATCTGAAAATATAATAAAAGAGTTTCTGCCAATTGGATATTCTACATTTATGTGAAATGGTATGAGTCACTCTGATCTATACAAAATAATTGGATAATAAGTTTGAAATTTCTCTATGATGAATGTCTTTCAAATCTATGGTACGCCGCAACAGAATGACGTTTGATACCATTCGATTTTGGAAAATTCTGGGATTAAAAAAAAGTGAACAAGAAAACAAACCATAAAAAATATGAAACGAAGTAATAGTAATAGCAGATAGTATTAGTATATAATATTGATGTTGTTAGTCTAAACGGTGTGCAAAGAAATGACAGTTAAATTAAAGTCAGTTAATAATTCATCGTTAATATAAAAGAATAGTAATATGTCCGTTTTATTTGGAACATCTATAGAGGCAGGAAAATCGATTAACATCGTGATGACATGTTTCAAGAAGCTGCTGAGCACATATTTGTTATCACTTTGCGGAATATACTTGTTCGTTTGAATGATAATATTGATAGTGTAAGTTTGATTATTACGCTTGATTTTTTCGTTTTACTTGCACAAGGTGGATAAAGAGCTCATTAACAGAGACATCACTTTTTTATATAATTTGCAGGATCGATTTGTTATACGCTTTTGGAGGAAATTACGTTAATATGATCGCATCACGAAAATCTGATCAACCACCTCTCCTTAATTTAACAATAAAAGTATTTAACGCTATCCATATTAATATGTAAAGGATCAAATCATCAAGGGGGCTTTTTTAATATATTAATATTAATAATGAATTTCTTCAAACAGATAATGCTAGTTGTTTGCCTTTCAAAGATGATTGTAGTTTAGATAAAAAGTTGGAGATTGTTTGACTAGGGCGTGATGCTGACATTAGAGATAAGCCATTTCCTCAAGATAATGTATTAAATATTGAATT